TGCCCTGACTTAGATCAGCCCAATGAGTTGTTTCAGGGTTTGATCTGTGCCCGCCGTGCCCTGAATTAGCCTGACAATTTGAACGTTTTCAAAGTTTCTATTTTGATTTTTACCTTTAATGTTTATATAAATTGGGTTCCTTTGGACAAGACCATTATCAGTGAAAAACCGTTGAATGTATTATAGCGATTAATCAGTCGGTTTTAGCAACTGACGAAGGAAAGAGGCGTCATGAGCTTTTAAGGTAATAAAGTTAATGTATACACCTAATTGCAGGAACGTTGTCATATAAAATCATTATCATTTTTTAACAAAACAAGAGTAATAATTCATATGGTTTTATATGACAACATTCTTGCAATTAGGTGTTATATAAAAAAATATGGCAATATAACTTTCACGTAATCGTGTTATCGATCAAAATCGCATTTTAAAGTCTTTAGCAACCATGGTTGAAATAAATAAAGTGTTTTATTTAGTGTAAAGAGGTAACAGAAAGGATTTTTATATTTCTAAGCTGTCAGGGCTAAAAAGCTACTGGTCACGTGACAGTTATATCTTTATATTTGTATATTTCGATTCGTTGGACACAAGCATGTTGTGGCAAGAGAACTTCATTGAACATTGAAAGAAACATTTTGCAGGAAAGGGACATTATAGATAGATATACGTTAATACATTTAGGCTATGAACCTTTTGATATTCCCCTTTATTTGCTTATTCTTTTAATTTGTTCCTGATCTATTATTGCTTCGACTTAGTATTTAAGTTCTTTCCTTTGTAAATATTCAATCAGTGTCTTAAAACGACGCAAGGACACAGATGTAAGTTGCTTTTTTCTTGATTTTTCATTCGCTTTTGAGTTTTTCAACTTAAATTCGGAATTTTATAGTTTTTCTACCGCTTTGATCATAGCTATCGTATATAGAATAATTATTAAATTGAAACGAAAGTGAGTCTACAACGTTTGTTTTGGTAAGGGTTTGAACTCCGAAAAAAATATAAAAATATAAAAATATAAAAATATAAAAATATAAAAATATATACATATATATTTATATATACATACTTATCATATAACGGACATCGACCAGGGTGATAATATCAAAGCTAACTGCAGTGACTTGTCAAATATAATTGGTTCCTAATTAATAATGTGTTTGTCGGTTTTTAAAGTTAACTGATTTTCTTCTCGGGCAACTAGGCAAGATTCTTACATTCAGTTTCATCTCGAGAGAGAAAACGAAGTTCAAAGAAAAAAATGCTTTTATATCTATATTTATTTATAAGGTACACCTAAAGTGATAACTAGTAGACATATGTATATATTCTGAGTAATGGTTGATGCGCTATCGTTTGTTCAATATAAATTTGACGTTGTTTTTAAAGCAGCTGGCGCGGTGAATAATCGCGCCGCAATAATCGGGCAACGATGAAGAGTAAATTATAAAAAAAGATCAATGAAGGTAAGAGGAAAATGAAATGAGAATGATAAGAAGTACAAAATACTCAACATTAGGATTTATAACAAAGATATATWTTTTCTTCTTCTATGTTATTTTTGTGCGTGTATTTAGCGAAATGTTTACACCACAAGAATAACATTAACTCAGTTTTCCAAACCTACGAATTTTGATAAATGAAAATATATACACCTACTTGCAAGAACGTTGACATACGAAAATAGAACATTAGTAATTTAGCGAGAAAGGAATACATTAAAAGACAAAAGAAAAAGTTCAGCTTAAGTGATCTTCATTTGTCTTTTAAAATAATTCCTATCCCACTAAATCACCAATGTTCTATTTTCGTATGTCAACGTTCTTGCAGGTAGGTGTATATAAAAACATATATATATATATATATATATAAATAAATAAATAAAAAAACTAAAAAAAAAACTTGAATAGTGTATTGTTTCTGTTAACGACGAATCGAAACTTTTCAGATATCTTTCGAGTTTAAGTGTATATTCTATGATACGACGCAGTTTAATTACACCTGTTTGCTTTCTATATGGCTTCTGCAAGTTGTTCAACCTTATTTGATATACATCTTTTCGTTTTAGTAATGTTATTTTACTTTTCATTAGCGATACTTGCAATAATTTACGATTGTGGTCCTTAAAGAAAATTTTCTATTTGTTATTTTGTTGTTTGTTATCTTTAAAATGATAACGTTTAATTTTGCAATAAGGTTTATATAGCTATTTCAAAAATTGTCTAGGGGGCGAACGGCGATAAGTAATAAACGATACGCGATCAGTGATAGAAGATAGGTCATTCCAATATGTAAGAATTGCTGCAAGGGCTTGTATTTCTTATTCTTGTCAATAACACAGGTGTTGTTGTTAAGATATTTAGTGATCACGTAGTCGACTAAAACAATTATAAAACGACTGATTATTCGTGTTTAGATGTAACGCTCAACGTTTTTTGAAATAGCTGTTTATCAAGAAAAAAAATTATATCCTTAGGAAAGCCGCGCCATTAACTGCCTGTTATCATTTTGTATGCCGCAGAACCATAATCTGTCAATCAACATTAATAGTGAAACAGTTAGTCTATTTCATTTCAATTCCCGCTTTCTTTTATGCCAAGATACACATATATTTAATCAATATTTTTATATTTTTTATTTCTAAATTGAAAAGGCATTGAAAACGAATCTTCAAAGCCTAGCATATACAAAAGCAAAGCATATATGCAGCTGAAATGCAAGAGCAACTTTTTGTGCAAGGAATATGTAATATTAATGACTTACCTTCTGTTTCCGCTATGAGCAAGAGTCACGAGCCAAACTAATTGAATTTTGAAACTATTGTTATTTTTTCAATTTCAATAGTGAATGATCGATTCGAATAATGAAATCAAGAATCCAAAAACAAAGTCATTAATAGTTAATTGATTTACTTGAAATCGTGTTTTTTTTTGTAGCCGGAGATTAGGTTCTTAGGGCAAAATTAAATTCTATTTTCTGCATTAGCCTTACACTGCCCTTATTAATGCGCTTCATAATTCAATTGCAGATTTTTCGTTACGAATAGTTCACCATGAATTTTTGGACCAAATTGTTTGTTGTTTGGAAGTTGGTCATTCTTCAACTCTCTCGAAAACTTCAGGCTTCCAAATGTCAAACTTCAATCAGTGGAATCGCACTTATTGACTACACATTTATGGTCCTTTACGACAAGAATATCCATACCTGCTACGTGGAATGCAAGAGGTACAAAGCATGCCAGAGCATTAACTACTTCAGAGCTGGTGGCTTGTGTCATTTAAATAACAGATCCATAACAACAAAACCCGAGAGACGGGTGGTGATGGCAGACTCTGTCTATTTTGAACATCCAGAGCCGAGTAAGTATGAACTTGGGGACCACCATTTGAAGTAGTCATTTGAGTCATTCGACCAATTCAAATGAAGGAATGTAGTTTTCTCTTTTATTTTAATTAAGACCTTGTATCGTGTTGCTCTAAAACTACTTTTCCATTGAATTAAGTTTCAAGCTAAAATTTCCTTTCTTAAATATATTTTGTATCATTATCGCTATTTTTCCATTTGATAACAGGCCTTTGCTGAATTCGCTTAAATACCCATGCTTACTTGAAACGATTGTTCCAAGTCAAAACTGGACTCGATGAGAGCTGATTTGGGAAAGGTCTATTTGCCTCAAAAGTGACCTTTGTTATTTCCAATTGTGATATTTTTGGGAGTATGAATGGCTTCCTGCCTTCCGGTTTTCCTCCCTCCTTTCAAACGAACCCTTACTATTCAAATTGGTTAGTGCTGTACTCCTGGCTCATACATGGACTGTATTTTTTTTTTTTAGCAGCCATAGGTTCCCACAAGGAGTCTCCTGCTGAATCTTGCATGGAGATCAAGAGAGTCGGAAGCATTGTGAACAGCGGATTTTATTGGCTCAAACATCCTCTGACCAATATAATTTCTCAAATATACTGCAACATGCTAACTGGAGGTGAGTAATGAATGATGTGCAATAAAAATTAGTGTTTTATGTTTTTTGAGGAAACCAGAGAACCCGTATAAATCCCTCCAAGCACAGGAGAGAACCAACAAGCGTGATGGCGGGCCCGGGGAGCAAACCCATTACCACAGCGAAAGCAGACATGCTTCCTAAATTCATGGCAATCCACAATAAAAATTGCGCCTTTATCTTTACATTTCCTTCTAGACTTATATCAAATTATTTTAAATCAAATTTGCTTTTTAGAAGCTGATGGTTGTTTCTCATCGCCCTGTAAAAACCAAGGTACATGTACGAACAAGAAACATGGCGACTACAACTGCTCTTGTACCGTCGCATTCACAGGGGCTAAGTGTGAATTACCCAGAGGTGAGTTATGATGAGTTATATTGATTACTGGAAGAAATTGGTAATGCTGTAAGTCAACACCGTATGTTTCCCTCTCATACAATAACCATTAGTATATAACCATTTCTATATTACGGCAKGTCGTACCGTGTACGTACTGTAAGTCAGTACCGCACTTTTTTCAAACATACGATAACCATTTTTATGAAAAGCCATTTCCATATTACGGCATGTCACACCGTCTACGTTCTGTAAGGGATTTTTCTTGTTAATTAATTGTAAATGTACTAATCTCACTATCTAAAGAACATGAACGAATTGAATCTCCCGCCATGAGCCACTGCAGCCGTTGAGCGTCTAGGTTTAAGTATTTATAAACACGTATCGCCGTTAAAAAAATATTTTGATTTAAAATGGTTAGAGTTTATACTATGATAACTCTTATTTTGGATGCTTCTTAGAGACATGAAGAGTTCGTTAGGGTCCAATGCTTTACTTGTACTAAGTAAAATGCATAGCAGTATTTGTATTTCCGATTTATTTAAAGCTGAGCTGAGCCGTCTATATATTTAAAACAGTAAACAAATGATGTTAGCGCCGATATTAGCTCGCCATATTTTAACTTATGCACTAAAACATTCTTTTAAAGTGCTCACCAGTAAACATGCTTAATTCTTTCTAAGAAGAACGTTTTATTCACAGCAATTCAAGTAATGATATAAGATAATATAAAAAGCAATATATACTTGTATTGGGAGCGAGAACGTTTTAGTTTGATGACAACGACAAGAACAGTTGATTGTTGTTTTCAAAGGAGTTTGCAAGACGAATTTGCACCCGTAAAACTGAAACGAGGCCGTATGATGACGAAACAACTGGCATCGAGCTCAAAGCAATTCAAAGTGATCACGTGGTACATAATCCATACATCTCATTAGTTGAGAGGGTGGTAACGCCCACTTTGGGCCTACCCTCTTAATTTTTAGTAAAAAGAAAATGACAGAAAATGGGCTCCCTGTTTTCATGACGTTTTTGCGGTTTTTTATAATAAAATATAGCGGGCTCATTAGAAAGATAAAGATGGCGGTTAGAATCGAA